CAATGGGAATCTAAAATACTTTTGTTATAGGGAATCTATATATATGTGTAAAATGTGTTCGTATAGATATAAAAGATAATTATATAGACAAAATGATACAACTACTTTTATGTGTTAAATAATCGTTATCAAATCAAATGTTAATTAATTGCGGGTTAGGAATAAAGACAATTTAATTGGCTCATCCATTACCCATTTTTCAATATCAGACTGCAGAATAAATAATTCCAAGTCCGATATATAATAAGGGGGATAATATATTAGGGAATATTTTTGAAAAACGACAATTAACCGATATAAGATTTTTTTAAACTAAATAAACCAAAATATTACAAAAAAAAAAAAAAAGAAAAAGAAAAAAAAATAGAGGAATGTTTTTTTTAACGGCGATTAAGTGGGGAGAAGTTTCATGTGAAAAATTATGTTTGAAATAAAAATATAAAAAAAAAAAAAAAAATAAAAGAAAAAGGTATTCCTTTCTCCATCCGTGGGAATGGATCCAATTAATCGACAAAGTCCGATAAACCCATTTAGGAATGAAATTTACGCATCCGATTCAAAATTTCAATCGGATTTCTTTAACGGAGACTGAAATAATTCCTTGTTTTTTCTATTTCATTGTAAAAGTGGACGAACATACGTAACTGAATACTATGTCAAACATCCACTCCTTTCTTCTTCACCAAAATATCAACTGTCACAGATTCCAATCGCTAAGGCAATTAAACAAGGATTATCCATCACAAAAAAGGCATCTTTTGATAAGTTCAAAGAGCAACTAACTATGGATGGAAATGTTAAGGGAAATGGAAAAAAGAATCCAAGGACTAATAGAGCAGTGGGTCTTAATTCATGAACTAATGTTACAGACTGTTCGTCGATTATTAATTTTTTAATTACACCTCCGTGAATGAAGGTAAGAAAATAGAATAATGATGAATGAGAAAGGGATAAAAAGAATATTGAATTAATAGTAAATAATAATGAGGAATATAAACATAATTTTCACAGAAATATTTTTTGCAAATCCATATCAACACATCCTTCTTAATTATACATATACGGAATAAAAGATGTATGTGACACCCTAGCATCACATAGACGAATCCGAATATCAACATCTTTCCTATTCATTCTGTTATAACTATAGTCACTTAGTTATAACTATCTTTCTTTTTTTGTTTTTTAGACTCTGCTCACCGCAACACTCAGTGGGTTTGATGTGATTGGAAAGTTTTTCGATTTTTGAATAGATGAACGTCGATGTTTTGTTACATTACGAATAGGTGATTCACCTCTAGAAGGTTTTGGTGATTGTGGTGGCGTAGTATGTAAAGGCATTGTTGTAGAATAGGAAGAATATGAAGGAGGAGGGGCGAGGAGAGGTGTAACAAGAGAACGGCATGAAACAAGACGGGCTTCGAGACTCTGTTAAAAAGCAAATATACATAAATATATATGTAATTTAACGAATTTTATGATAACTTTATGATAATTACCTTGACCCTGCCAACCATGTCTTGTACCATCTTGACGGGATTCGAATTTGGATCCGATGATGCATCGGATGTATTTCCTAATGTAGAACGTGAGTATTTGGCAGACATGCGAGCAGCAGCAGATGACGTTGGTGGTGGACCATATTCACCATCTTCCCTATTTTTCATGATAGCCAATTCTATGTTCACATCTATAGAGATTATTGACAAATGATAAACATTATTATTAAAATGAAATAAAGAATTGGTAGATAATTATTACAAAGAATTATCAAAATACCTCTCAATTCATCCTTCAGTCTTTGTACTTGAACGATTAATTGATTTTTGCCTTCAAGTTCGTTTTCAAGGATCGCATTTCGTTCAATAGCTTTATTGTACTTGTTTTCTAGATCCAACAATGAACTCTTTGCAGCTCTATAAGAAAATAATTGATTAAAACCAAAGTTTATATTATGCATAATGACATTTTGATTTTAATAAATTCAGAAACAAACCTTTCTGTTCGTTCAAGGTCATCGTTATCAAGTTCTAACTCTCGTGTTTTGATAATAAATTTGTCTTTCATGCTTTGCAACGTATCAATCTCCCTTTGCAATTGAGTGGCCGTAACGTTACATTCGGTTTTAGCTTGATAATATTTTTGCTAAAATGATTAAATCGTAATGAGTTAATAATGAAGATTTCGAGGATTTCATCCAGGATATTCCAATTATATGATAAATTTTTACCTTCCACTCATCAACTTCATTTTTTAGAGTTTCGTTTTTATTTCTCAATTCTTTGTGTATTTTTTCAGATTGCTCGAGTTCTTTCAAAAGTTCTTCTTCGAAATCTCTGGCCGAAGTTTGAACTTCGTCAAGTTCAGCTTGAGTTTGATTCAAAGTTTCTTCCAACTCTGAAACTCGACTTTTATAATATGCGAGTTCATCGTGTACTGATGCGAACGTGCTGTGAAAAATAGGAATGTAGAAATATAGATGAGTAACAGTTAAAACCCGAACAATCTATTCTAAAAGTTCCGAAATTTTCGAACTCACTTTCCAGCCATAGTAGTTTCTTCAATGAACTAATTTTAAAACACTTGGTAAAAAGGTTTTGTTAATAGTGAAAAGTAATACGGATAATCCGAGTGAGAGACAGAGAGCTGTAAAAATATTGGGATTATATAAAAAAAAGTGGAGAAAAAAAAGGATGATATTAATAACGACAAGCACTTTAATTATATATTTATCAATAACGGACTGGATATCTGTAATATTTGAACAGATTAAATAAAAGGAGTTTGTTTGCTTCTTACTTTTTTATTATTAGAAGATGAAAAATTAGTTCATGAAAAAACCCAACCGAAGTCGCTCGTTTCTAATTTTCCAGACAAGAAGAGACCAGGGGAATATAAAGACAGGAGAAGTTATAAACCTTAAGCTGTGTTTATGTTTGTGTTCAGAAAAAAAGATTCATATTATGTTTTACAATAGTAATATAACGAGAATAGTGTATAGTGTAGTATAAAGTATAATATATATTGATGATATAATAACTGTTTATTTATACATATGTATAAAAAAAAAAAAACTTGCTTGAACCTCTAAAAAGAAAATTATACCAAATTTATTTTTTGCTTAGAATTTAAAATAACAATATATTTAATTTAATTTGAAAATCGTGATACGATTTAAAATAGATTTAGGGGAATGTGAATTTTTGTGAAGGGTCACACCGATGACACATTTAAGTTTATTTAATATTACAATAACAACGGTACTAGGCAGGGATAAGCACAAACATAGAAAAAAAAGGGTTTTTTTTTTTTTTTTTTTTTCGGCTGAATGTGGTTAGAATAAGGCAATTCAAAGTACCATAGCCTTTTTCTCAAATAATATTATTATATCATTAATACTACTATTAGGTTTACTTAACTAAAATTGGATGAGATCAATCTTATATGAAAGTCGCTAGAACTTAGTCAATTAAAAAAAAATGTTCATCGGTTATAAAAATAAAACGGCCGGATTCTCAATGATCATAATGATCATAATGATCATAAAGATAAGCGAATTAAGTCACCCAAAGAAAAGTCGATCTTCCCCGATAAATAATCCACGCTAAATCAAGATCATTGGACTCGACCAATAGAAATTCTCTGACAATTTTCGAAAAAAAAAAAAAAATGGGGTACATATCGACTCAAAGATCAGATTATTCGCAATAGTCCCATCATTAAAGAATTAAAAGGAATGTTGATAGTGTATGT